CAAGTGCTTGGGTCCCTGCACCCGCATGGGAGACCAGGAAGAAGCACCTGGCTCCTGGCTTTGGATCGGCACAGCGCCGGGCACCGGCTGTAGCAGCCATTTGGGGGAGTGAACCAATGGAAGGAAGACCTTTCTTTGTCTCTCTCTCACTGTCTGTAACTCTGTCAAATAAATAAAATCTTAAAAAAAAAAATTAGAGTGGGAAAAGGTAGCAAACTAAGGATCATCTTACAGAACTAAGGGCTGCCCAAGATCCAGCTGTAATAAACACTTAAAAAATAAAAGGGAAAAGGTTAAGTTGATTTAATAATCAGAAAGCTGTAACTTTTAGGGTAGAGATGGCTTTAGCTGGAGTACGAGTGGTTGAGAAATGAGTAGAGTTCTGAATACTGAACTCTGACAGTTCTTTAAGTCTTATGAAATGGGTCTAGGGGTGCTGTGGCTTTGTCATGGTCCTGCATGCAGCACCTACTGCTTTCCCACTGTTCCCTGCTAATATGCCTAGTAAGCAGCGGAAAACGACCCAAGTGCCTGGGACCCTGCACCTACACAGGAGACTCTGAGGAAGTTCCAAGCTTCCGTATGGCCCAGTTCCGGCTCTGATGGTCATTTGTGCAGTGAGCCAGCAAATTTGCCTTTCAAATAAAATATTCTTTTTTAAAAAAGCTTATTTAATTATTCGAAAGGAGGAGTTCGAGAGGCTGAAGCAGAGACACAGAGAGAGAGGTCTTCCATCCGCTGGTTCCCTTCCCAGATGGTTGCAACGGCCAGAGCTGTACTGATTCAAAGCCAGGAGCTTCTTCTGGGTCTCCAATGCGGGTGCGGGGGCTCAAGGACTTGGGCCATTTTCTGCTGTTTTCCCAGGCCATAGCAGAGAGCTGGATTAGAAGTGGACCAGGGGCCGGCACCCTGGTGCAGTAGGTTAATCCTCCGCCTGCAGCACTTGCATCCCTTATGGGCGCCAGTTCTAGTCCCAGCTGCTCATCTTCCAATCCAGGTCTCTGCTATGGCCTGGGAAAGCAGCAGAAGATGGCCCAAGTCCTTGGGCCTCTGCACCCACATGGGAGACCGGGAAGAAGCACCTGGCTCCTAGCTTCAGACTGGCACAGCTCCAGCTGTTGCGGCCATCTGGGGAGTGAACCAATGGAAGGAAGACCTTTGTCTCTTCCCCTCTCACTGTCTGTCAACTCTACCTTTCAAATCAATCAATAAATAAAATATTAAAAAAAAAAAAAAAGGTAGTGGACCAGCCAGGAATCGAACTGCACTCATATGGGATGCCAGCACTGCAGGCATTTATCTGCTTTATCCACTATGCCTTAGCGTCAGCCCCAAATAAATATTAAAAACAAACAAAAAAAGGGTCTAACGACCCACCTGACACTGTAACTTCTCTACCAGTCATCACAGGAAGTGCTGACAGGTGCAGTGGACAAACCCCCTGTCCTCGCTCCGTGACCAAGACGGCTAACTTTAAAGACATCCACCTACCGAGGGTAACTGCCTGCAATTTACCAAGTGTGTCTCTCTTGATTCTCCCCCCAAAACTATGGAATACACAAGGAAATTCACGCCGCTGAGACTTCCCCTCCCCAAAGCCCACACTGCCCTGCACTGGCACAACCGAGGCTAAAGGCAGCCCCCACTCGAACACACTCCAGAGGCTTCACTAACATTTCAATTCGTAAGGCCTCGATTAACGCTTTCCGGTTTTCTTACAGAACCACCTGTTTGAGGGAACTGGGTGTGCACGTTGTGAAGTACAAAGCTCACGGGTACAGCCACTGCATCAATTTACAACACTGGCAGGTGTATTAAGTCGACCTCTTCACAATTCTTTAATGCACTAGCAAGAAAAAAGTTAAACTACAGCTAGCAATTTGTAACAAAATGAAAATAATACGCAAAAAACATATTTAAAGGCCCTTTTCTGCATATTAAGCACTAAAAAGCAAAGGAACGCACAATGAAACCGGCCAACCCCCCTGCCATTTGCAGCAACGGAGAAGACCGGGCCGCTTGCTTCCGTTTCAGACACACACGACCGCGCAACCAAGAGCACGGACGCTCATCCTCCTCCCGCGCCTGCTGGCCCGACACACCGGTCAGTGCCTCCGAAAACGCAAGGTCCCTCCTCAATGGCTCTCCTCAGAGCGGAGGGAGACTGCCGTCCACTCGTCAAGCTCCGCCGAGACGCGAGCACCCACGGTTGTCTCCACACCGCGCGACCCCGACAGACGACCGAAGCCGGCCTCGCCTTTCCCGCCGCGACCCCAGACAAGAAGCCCGAGCACAGATGAGAAGGCCGAAGCGTGACCGCGGCGGCTCGCCGGGGCTTTTACCCTCCGTTGAAGGCGTAAGGCGAAAAGCGCCGCTGCACCGGGCCCGCGACACTGTGCACGTCCATCCCCAGGTCTCGGCCGGGACCCGAGTACATGGCTGGAGAGCTCAACATCTCCGCGCGGCCGCAGCTCCTCCGGGCTCCTGCTGTCTCACGACAAGATGGCGGTCCAAACCGGAAGTGACGCCACTTCCGGCCTCCCGCAGCGCCCTCCGGGCCACTCTAGCTTACACTCGTCGTTGGTCCTGGAGATCGGTTCGCAGGACGCGTGTGCTGCCACGTTCCCCGAGAAAGCTGACGGAGTGTGAAGACGGGTGTATATTTTCCTAAGGAAACGTTCGAAGTCACTTCCAAGTCTGACCGTACCAAAACACTGGGCAGTCTGTGGAGCCACGAACACTTGAATGCCCTTGGGGAGCGACTTGAAAATGGAGGAGCCGCGTCCTGGGGGGAAGGGATGGGATTCCAAGAGAAGCTTACTTCTTGGGATCCGCGGACAGGTTTCACGGCGGCATCTCCCACGCCAGTGACACGCACAGGGACGTTCCCATACTTCTTGGGATCCGCGGACAGGTTTCCCGGCGGCATCTCCCACGCCAGTGACACGCACAGGGACGTTCCCATAGCCTGGCTCTCAGTGGCCCCAAACTGGAAGCAATGAATGTCACCTCGGCAGGATGAGCAGAGGACCCGAGTGGGGTCACAGGGAGCCAACTGCAAGCAGTGGCAGGTGCGGAGCAGATCCTCCACGCAGGAGGACGCTGAGCAGGACGCAGACTTCACACCGAGGGGTGGCAGGGTGTCCTGCCGGCAGTAGTCACTTGACACAACCGTTTGTTAATTGGGCAAGTCTTTATGCACTTTCTTATTTGTTCCATTATAAATGCGAGCAAGCAAGCGATTGGCTAACCAGTTTGGCTAACTTCTGGTCACATCCAATTCTGGAACCAGAGAAGACTTTTTAAAGGGCTTGTGTAAAACTCTCCCGTGCTTTGCTGCAAAGGAGAACAAGGCCAGAGATGGCCTTTGTCTTCGACAAAGTCCAGTATTGTACTCGCTCTGGTCTCCGTAGGTCAACGCACTGCCAGGCACTGTCCTGGATTCCGGAGCTCAGGACCTCACTGGTAGCACAAACTGCCCCCGTGGTCGCGTCCAAGTGACCACAGAGGGAAGCGGCCGGGAAGACCACGACGGCCGCGTGGCGACAGTGCGAAGCCTAAGACGGCCCCAGCGGAATGAAAGCCCCGACGAATCCGCAACCCGGTGCCCCGCGTGTTGCGGAGCGGCCCACACCCGCGGCGAGGAGCACGCGCGCACCGCCCACGCGGTTACTTCCTGGGCCCCGCGGCCGCTCTACGACGCCGTCGCCCGGGGATGCCGGGCGTCACTCCCGCGGCTGGGTCCTGCCACCCACGCGGGACACTGGCCTGGACAGGGCTTTCTGGGCACTAGGAGGGGACTCCTCCGCGTCTGTGTCTACCTTTCAAAATAAAAAGAAATGTCAAAGAGAAAACAAGTTTAGACTAGAAAGAACTCATCCTAAAATAAAAAGACCCCGAGGCAAATGTTAACTTGCCAAGGTTACACCTCTAGTTGGTTTAAAAAACTTTTTTCAATTATTAACTTTCCTTACTTCCAGAAAGCACCAATTAGAAAAGGCTATGGAGAGGAGGCCCCGCCCCGGAACTCCGACGAGCTCCGCCCCTCATTTCCCTTGAGCCCAGCGCCCAGGAGAAACCGGAAGGATCCCGCGCCCACACTTACCATGGCCGCGCCTTCAGCGCGTGCAGCCTGCTGACGCCGCGGACAGAACTGGCGGAAGTGACATTATCAGCGCGCGCCTGGAGTTCGGTGGGGTCGGGTAGGGTTGCTGTGGCGGGGCCTGAGCAGCCTGCGGCTTAACTTCGCTTCCGCAGGCCCTTGATGATCTCTGCCGGCACCCAGGTACCTGGCCCTTTAACTCTCTCTCTTTTTCGAGGGCGCTGGCGGAGGCGGCCGCTGCAGCGAGGCCCAGGGGCGGTGGCGGGCGGAGACGCGGAATGGGCGCGCAGGCCCCGCGGGGACCGAGGTTCCTCTCGCTCGAGCCGCCGCCGCTCGGGCCTGTACCGGCCGTTCGGCCGCCGCTCCATCCCGGTGCGCGGCTGTGCTGTGGGTGGAAAACGGCTTCTCCCCGCACGAGGGTGGGGCAGACCCGGAGCCTGCGCCGCCTGGCTGGCACCCTCCGCCCATCCTCTCTGGCCGGTGCCCGCTGGCTTCGCTACCCGCAGGGGTCGGTTTTATTTTACAGTCGCGCGTGACACTTGCTAACGATTTGTGGAAGTCCGAGCTTTAGGCGCGGTGGACGTCCGAGGCAGACGCGCACCTCTGTCCTTAGACGGCCAGGGAGGCCCCTCGGGGAGAGGATCCCGCCTGGCTGCGTGTGCGGACGCGGGAGTAGACAGAGTTCATTGGATGACCTCAGGAGACACGCAGCCTGGTCTTGGGTTTCCGGAAGATGAAGACCTTGCACGCGAGCCTCTGTTGAAGGGAGAGTCAGTGCAGTAAGGCGCCTAACGCAGTTTCACTATGCAGGGAGGGGAAGACGGTGAGCGCGTGGCCGGGAGTGAGAGGAGCGCTCGGAACAGGGGTCTGGAACAGCCTCGTCGCAGTCGGGTGCTGTGATCCTGCCCTCATCTCTTGCCGCAGCCGTGACAGTGACCCCGAAACTGGGCTTGCGGCCCTCGGCTTCACTGCCCCGATGTATCCCCACGCGTGCCAAGCTGGGGTGCTGGTGCTGCGCCTGCTGCCCGTGTGACCCCAAGTTGCTTGCTGCTGCGCGCTGCTCTCTCCATCCTTGTCTCTCGTTTAATTTCTCTGTTGCCAGAGCCGCTGATTCATGATTTCCTACTCACCTTGCCAGACCCAGGTTGCACGGTCCTTGCTTTGTGAAAACAGGCCCTCTCTTCGAGCACTCGCCTGTTAGTCCCGTCTTCTGTGGCGTACGTGCGTTCGTTCACCCATGAGCCACTACTAAAGGGCTCTCCAAGAAGTTCATGGAAAGCGTGTATCGTGAAAAATTATACACAGATTTCAAAATCGTTTGGACCAGACTAAACACATCTGTGATCCATTCTCTGTGTGTTCTTTGAAGTGCTGTTGTATGGGCAAGACCTGGTGCTGGGTACAGGTTACAGGCGTGCGTGCTGGTTTCTGAGATGAACTTCGCGGGTATCTGATTTTGTTACTAGTAGAGCAGTCGTTACGCGGTTGCATGTGGAACTACTTGATGCCGACAGTGTCCTCTTCGTCTGTACATCAACAGCACTTCTGTTACTACAGCAACGTCTAAAGAAAGTACAGTTTTCTTACATCTTTGGTACATTTCTTTTCAGAAGTTGAGCTTTTTGTGTGTGTCTGTTTTTCAGTGATGAGCATATAGGATAGACAGCTTTTGGGGCCCTTTGCCCTCTCAGAGTGATGATTCTTCCGGTCATCCAGCATGCATCTGAGTGCTTACTCTACCAGCACAACTTGAGGTGCACATGGGTCTTTGAACAACTTGACCCCTGAGACCTATGAGCGCTATGTTGGAATGAAAACCAATAATGGTAGCTAACATTGTTCTGTGTTTGTACTTGATGTTTTATTTTAACTCAGCCAGCCCACCCCCATGGTGCTCAGTCAGTTCTCACAGCCAGCACGTTGGAGTGAACTGTGCTGAAAAGTTTTTCACTAGTCGCTTGGTTCTTTCATCAGGAAGTAGTTTCAGGAGATGGTAGAAATGATTGAGAAAAGCCAGATATAGGCACAGTTTGTGGCTAATGTATTCTAAAGAGGTAAGATTGCTGTATTTATAAAAATATCTTATTTATCATTGTGTCTGCACAGCTTCTTTCACGCCAAACTATATTGGGTACAACTCAGTATTTATTGAGCTTTATGTCCAAGACATTACAGAGGCTATAAAATTGAGCAGCATATTTATACACCTGAACTTGGCCTTAGCACTGTGCTGTGTGTACCATGCCTCATAAATATTATGCCTTGATAGCACATTTTCCTTGGGAATTATCTAGGTGTGTTCCTCCAAAAGCTTTTTTTTTTTCATTTAAGATTTATTATATTTATTTGAAAGAATTAGAGAGAAAGAGATCTTCCATCTGCTGGTTCACTCCCCAAATGGCCGCCAGGAGCCAGGAGCTTCCTCTGTGTCTCCCACGTGGGTGCAGGGGCCCAAAGCCTTGGGCCATACGCTACTGCTTTCCCAGGCCATAGCAGAGAGCTAGATCAGAAGTAGAGCAGCTGAGACTTGAACCGGTGCCTATATGGGGTGCCGGCACCTGCATCACAGCGTCAGCCCCCTCCAAAAGCTTTTAACTCTGGGTATGACTCCTTGATTTTGAGCTTTATCAGACAGTTTAAACGTGTAAGAAGTTGTTTTTTGTTTGTTTTGCAGTTTTGGACCTAATCGTAGGAAACATGAAAAGAATAATGCTTTAGGATTGTAAAGTAAAAAGAAATGCATTCCCAAATAGCTTCACTGGTCTCCTTGTTTATGTTCTGTGTAGCACAAAACTGGCTTGTGAGACTGTGCATGTTAGCTGTATCCTCACATTAGACCTCCATCTCTTTCAGTGCAACATCACTGCTTCCTGGTGGCTGAGGATAACCCCGATAATTGAGGAGGTTGCTGAGTGTGTGTTGGGGATGATCAAAGAAGACTGAATGCTGACACGAGTTCCAGGTCAAGAGATTCTGGTTTGCTAAGAAGTGGACACAATGGACCAGAACAGCAGCCTGCCCCCGTATGCTCAGGGCTTGGCCTCCCCTCAGGTAATAGTGCTGGCCTGGGTGCCGGGAGCCTGGACCTCTTGGCTTCCAGGAATGTCATTACAGGGAAGGGAGGTCTGATATCGAAAGTGGTTTTGGTATGTTTTCTAAGCCCCCGATCCTGGGAGAGGTTCTGTTTGGCTTTGTTTAGGCGCAGTAGTGCTTTATTTGTGGAGTTTGGAAGCTAAATTATGTATTTGTCTAGAAAACATTCCTTGAAGAAATACTTTTGAGATTGTACAAATGAGTATAGGTTTTTAAATTTTGAAAGTCACTCTTGCCAAATTGCTTTTTATTTTTTCCCATTTGTGTTGAAAGTGCTAAATTTAATCTCTGAGGTATAACTTATATAGAGAGAAAACATCCATTTTAAGTGCATGCTTTAATTGTATACACCTGTGTAAATGACAGAGCATTTCAGTTACCCTAAAAAGTCCCTTCTGGCCCTTTCACAGTCACTCTCCTGCCTCACATAACTTATAAATTTGCTGTTTAATGCCAATGATTAGTTTTGCCATTTTGGAATTTCACGTGAATGGAAAGCAGTGTTTTTTCTGTTTTGTTTTTTAAAGATTCATTTATTTGAAAGAGTTACACAGAGAAAGAAGGAGAGGCAGAGAGAGAGGTCTTCCATCCACTGGTCCACTCCCCAGATGGCCGCAATGGCCGGAGCTGTGCCAATCCAGAGCCAGGAGCTTCCTCTGGGTGTCCCCACGTGCGTACAGGGGCCCAAGGACTTGGGCCATGTTCTACTGCTTTCCCAGGCCATAGCAGAGAGCTGGATAGGAAGTGGAGCAGCCAGGACTTGAACCGGCACCCATACGGGATGCTGGCACTTTAGGTGGTGACTTCACCCGCTACACCATAGCACTGGCTGCAGTGTGCTTTCTTGTGTGTCTTGCTTTCTTTCCCCAGTATAGCTGTTGTGCATCAATGGTTAATTGCTTTTCATTGCCAAGTAGTCCCACACTGTATGGATATGCCCTGGTTGAGCCTTTCTTCATCTGTTGACACTGAGGATGTTTCCAGTTTGGGAGCTATTAAAGAGAAAGGAAGTATAAACATTTGTATTCACTGTGTTTTTATTTCTTTTGAGTAAACACTTAGCAGTGGTGTTACAAGGTCGTACATAGGCATGTGTGTTAGCTGTTAAAAATTGGTTGTTTTCTAAAGTGGCTGTGCCGTTTTCCACTTCTGTCAGCAGTGCAGAAGAGTTTCAGTTGCTCTACAGCCTTACTTACACTTTGGGCTGTTAGTCTTTACTTTTAGCTTCTTAGTAGTATTTCATTGTGACTTTATTTATTTATTTAAAAGATTTGTTTATTTGAAAGGCAGAGCGACACAGATGGAGGGAGGGAGGGAGAGATTCTTCCATCCACTGATTCGCTCCCCAAAAGGCTGCAATGGCTGGGGTGGGCCAGACCAAAACCAAGAGCCTAGAGCTCCATCTGGGTCTCTCTTGAGAGTAGCAGGGGTGCAGGCACTTAGGCCATCTTCTGCTGCTTTCCCAGGTGCATTAGCAGGAAGCTGGATTGGAAGTGGAGCAGCCAAGACTTGAACCAGTACTTGTATGGAATGCTGGTGTTGCAGGCCATGGCAAAACCCACTGTGCACCACAACGTTGGCCCCCTCATTGTGATTTTTTTTTTTTTTAAGATTTATTTTATTTACTTGAAAGACAGAGTTACAGAGAGAGGTAGAGACAGAGAAGGAGGTCTTCCATCCACTGGTTCACTCCCCAGATGGCCTCAATGGCTGGAGCTGCGCCGATCCAAAGCCAGGAGCCAGGAGCTTCTTCTGGGTCTCCCACGTGGGTACAGGGACCCAAGGATTTGGGCCATCTTCTACTGCTTTCCCAGGCCTTAGCAGAAAGCTGGATCAGAAGAGGAGCAGCCGGGACTAAAACCGGCGCCTATATGGGATGCTGGCGCTTCAGGCCGGGCTTTAACCCGTTGCGCCACAGCGCCAGCCCCCCTCATTGTGATTTTAATTTGTATTTTCCCAATGGCTAACAATCCTGAGCATCTTGTTGCATATGTGTTGGCCATCTATTTGTCTTCCTTTGTAAAATGTCTTTAACCTCTGCCATTTTTATTGGCTTATTTGTTCCTGTTCTTTTATGGAGTGGTAAGAGTGCTTCATGTGTTCTGTTTACTAGTTTGAGATTCCTGTAATGTATGTACCTTACTTTTTAATTTATTTTTCTAAAGATCTCTTTTAGTTCATTTGAAAGGCAGAGTGATTGAGATCTTCCTCCGGCAGGTTCAGTTTCCAGATGGCCAAAACAGATGGGATTGAGCTAGGAGCCAGGAACTCCATCCCAGTCTCCCCCGTGGATGTCAGGGACCCAAGCACTTGAGCTGTCATCTGATGCCTCCTAAGTGCATTAGCAGGAAGGTGGATCAGAAGCAGAGAAGCCAGGACTGGACTGAGCACTGTGATATGGGATGTGAGCATCCCAAGTGGCAGCTTAACCCACTGCACCACAAAGGTGTCTTTCAAAGAGCAGAAGTTAATTTTTTTCTGAAGTCCAATTTATCATTTGTTTTCATGGTTAGTGTTTTTGTGTCCTAAGAAGACTTTTTCTCCCTGAAATCTCATAAGAGTTTCTTCTGTTACAGTTGTAGTCCTTACATGTATATCTGTGGTCCATTTAGAGTTAATTTTTACATCTGATCTAAAGTAAGGCAGATCTTTTAAAACCTGAGTCTTTTAAACTGGCCTAAGCTTTTCCCCTAGCCAACTGTTTTATGGAAATAAGTAGTAGAGGGATCAGCATTGTGGCTCAGTTGTCCTGAATGCTCTGTTTCTGATTTAGCTCCCTGCTAATGTGCCTGGGAAAGCAGCAGAAGATGGCTCAAATGCTTGCATCCCTGGCACCCCCATGGGAGGCCAGGATGGAGTTCTTGGCTCCTGGCCTTGTCCTGGACCCAGTCTGGCTATTGCAACCATTTGGCAGTGAACCCATGGATGGAAGATCTCTCTATCATGGTGCATGAAAAATAAATAAATACATCTTTTAAAAACTAATGTGACAGCTGCAGTGGAATAATGTCTGTACTATTAGGGTAACATCATAGATTTTATCCTCTTGTACTCTTTTTTTTTTTTTTTAAATATATTTTTAATTGACATATGACATTTGTATTCCCGCTATTATTTTTATTTGTTTTTGTTTTAAAGATTTATTTCATGTATTTGACAGGCACAGTTACAAGGAGAGATAGAGACAGAGATATCTTCCATCCACTGGTTCACTCCCCAAGTGGCCACAGCGGCCAGAGCTGAGCCAATCTGAAGCCAGAAGCCATTAGTATCTTCTGGGTCTCCTAGGTGGGTGCAGGGGCCCGAGGACCCCGGGCCATCCTCCGCTGCTTTCCCAGATGCATTAGCAGGGAGCTGGATTGGAAGTGGAGTAGCCAGGATTCAAACTGGCGCCCATATGGGATGCTGGCACCACAGGCGGTGGCTTTACCTGTTACGCCATAGCACCAGCCCGCTCCCCTTTTATTTTCCTGCTACTATGTTGGTGAGGCAGTTTGACACTTTTTGGGGTCTTAGATGTATTTGAGAATGTAACGAAAACTGTAGACCTTCTCCAGAAAATACACAGAATGTCGCATGTAACACTGAGGGTCACAAGGACATCATGAGCTCTTCAGTCTCTGTGGGCTCCCAGGATTTTGGTGTTGCGGGAAAGCATTGGCCTGGGTTTCAGGAAACCCTGGCTGTGATCTTGGCTCATCTACTCATGAGATCTGTGATCTTGGGCAAGTCATTTAACTTGTTTGGGTATGTCAGTTTCTTATCTTTAATATAGGAAAAATAGCTGTTTTGTGTTTCCCAAAGGCTTTTTTGTAAATTACTAAGTGTAACCTTTGTCTGTAAATACTTAGAAGTAAAAAGTAAACTGATGGAGGTAAAGCCCCACCTGCAGTGCTGGCATCCCATATGGGCACCAGTTTGAATCCTGGCTGCTCCACTTCCGATCCAGCTCTCTGCTATGGCCTGGGAAAGCAGTAGAAGATGGCCCACATGCTTGGACCCCTGCACCTGTGTGGGAGACCGGGAAGAAGCTCCTGGCTCCTGGCTTCAGATCAGCTCAGCTCTGGCCATTACAACCAGTTGAGGGTAAACCAGCAAGTAGAAAATTTTCTCTCTCTCTACCTCTCCTTCTCTCTCTGTGTAACTCTGACTTTCAGATAAATAAATAAATCTTTAAAAAAAAAAAAGTAAACATATATTTGGTAAATTTTGTTGGTTTACCCTTTTGCAAGAGCAAGTGATCAACCTTTTTGAATATTATTCCAATAATCATGATTGTGGCCAATACTTCAGTGTTTCCTGTGTGCCTATCATTGTGTTATCATCTAACCTGGAATGTATCCATTTCAATTGAGATGGGATGCTATCTATATGCTAGGATAATAGGGTTTTTTTTAAAGATTTATTTATTTATTTGAAAGTCAGAGTTACACAGAGAGAGAAGAGGAGAGGCAGAGAGAAAGAGAAGTCTTCCATCCGATGGTTCCCTCTCCCGTTGGCCACAACATCCGGAGCTGTGCCTATCCGAAGCCAGGAGCCAGGAGCTTCTTCCGGGTCTTCCACACTCATGCAGGGGCCCAAGGACTTGGGCCATCTTCTACTGCTTTCCCAGGCCATAGCAGAGAGCTGGATGGGAAGTTGGGCAGCCGGGTCTCGAACCGGCGCCCATATGGGATGCTGGTGCTTCAGGCCAGGGCGTTAACCCACTGCACCACAGTGCCAGCCCCAGGATAATAGTTTAAGCAGAGAAGTATGTTCATTCTGTTTATCTCCCTTATTCTTTCTAATGTTCTCAGATCATTATTATCTGCTAGATATGTTTGAAAGGTTAAGCAACTTTCTCAAGTTCTTGCATGTAATAAGCAGCAGTGGGATTCCAAATTGTAAGCTCTTATTTACTGTTAAAGAAGAAAGTGGGGGCTGGCGCTGTGGCGCAGCGGGTTAACGCCCTGGCCTGAAGCGCCGGCATCCCATATGGGCGCCAGTTGGAGACCCCGCTGCTCCACTTCCCATCCAGCTCTCTGCTGTGGCCTGGGAAAGCAGCAAATGGCCCAAGTCCTTGGGCCCCTGCACCAGCGTGGGAGACCCGGAAGAAGCTCTAGGCTCCTGGCTTTGGATTGGTGCAGCTCCGGCCATTGCAGCCAAATGGGGAGTGAACCATCAGATGGAAGACCTCTCTCTCTCTCTCTCTCTCTCTCTCTCTCTCTGCCTCTCCTCTCTCTGTGTAACTCTGACTTTCAAATAAATCTTTTAAAAAAAAGAAGAAAGTGATATTTCTAAGACCTTTCTGGTCAAGTTTAGTGATCCTGTTATCCCTGGAGGGGTGTCTGTCTTTATACCTCCTACCTGTTCCACCAGGCATGTTTCACAGACATGCAATACCAGCCAGTCTAACCTGGCATTTGCCTTGCTTTCCACAGGGCGCCATGACTCCTGGGATCCCCATCTTTAGTCCCATGATGCCTTACGGCACAGGACTGACACCGCAGCCTATTCAGAACACCAATAGTCTGTCTATCTTGGAAGAACAACAAAGGCAGCAGCAGCAGCAGCAACAGCAGCAGCAGCAGCAGCAGCAGCAACAACAACAACAACAGGCTGTGGCAGCCGCTGCGGCTGCGGTTCAGCAGTCTACATCCCAGCAGGCGGCGCAGGGGGTCTCAGGCCAGACACCACAGCTCTTCCATTCACAGACTCTTACAACCGCACCCTTGCCGGGCACCACTCCCCTCTACCCTTCCCCCATGACCCCCATGACCCCTATTACTCCTGCCACACCGGCCTCGGAGAGCTCTGGGATTGTACCACAGCTGCAGTGAGTACCATAGCCAGTGTTGTGGGTCTGCTGTCCCTCGCCCTGGAGCAGGGGTGGGGCATGTCCAGCACCAGGGCTGTGTAAGGCCTGTGAGGTGATCTGCTCAGGGCCTGCCAAGGCAACCTCAGGCACAACTCAAAATTCATTACATCTATAGTAGGCTGATTTTTAAGGTGATAATTTTGTATGACCTGTAAATGATGTTATAAATGCCCAAATGGCCCTTGGCAGAAAAAAGGTTCCCCACCCCTGCCCTAGAAGGTTCTCTTAGAGCTAAATTACTGTTTGTTGTTTCCAGATGGATCCATTTATTTAACAGAGTGGCACTAATGGTAATTGTGTCTCAAAATTTGCTTCACCTCTGCTTAAGAAAGCTGCCTTCCCTTTTTTCAAAAAAAAAGTTTTGTTTTGTTTCTTGTGTTTTTCTTTTTAAGATTTTACTGGGCCAGCGCTGTGGCTCAATAGGCTAATCCTCCGCCTTGTGGCGCCAGCACACCGGGTTCTAGTCCCGGTCGGGGCGCTGATTCTGTCCCGGTTGTCCCTCTTCCAGGCCAGCTCTCTGCTGTGGCCCGGGAGTGCAGTGGAGAATGGCCCAAGTCCTTGGGCCCTGCACCCACATGGGAGACCAGGATAAGCACCTGGCTCCTGCCATCGGATCAGTGCGGCGCGCTGGCCGTGGCGGCCATTGGAGGGTGAACCAACGGCAAAGGAAGACCTTTCTCTCTCTCTCTCTCTCTCTCTCTCACTGTCCACTCTGCCTGTCAAAAAAAAAAAAAAAAAAAAAAAAGATTTTACTTATTTGTTTGAGATGTAGAATTACAGAGAGGGAGAGACAAAGAGAAAGGTCTCTTCCTTTTCTTCATCCACTGGTTTACTCCCCAAATAGCCGCAAGGCCGGAGCTGGGCTGATCTGAAGCCAGGAGCCAGGAACTTATTCTGGGTCTCCCACACGGGTACGGTGGCCTAGCACTTGGGCCATCTTCCACTGCTTTCCCAGACCATAAACAGAGCTGGATCAGAAGAGGAACAGCCAGGACAAGAAATGGCACCCAAATGGGATGCCAGTGCCACGGGTGGAAGCTTAGCCTACTGCGCTGCAGCACCAGCCCCCAAGTTGTCTCCCTTTTTAAGCAATGTGTTTACTTGTGTTTGTGTACCTGGGCCAATGAAACTCAGTCTGGATCTCATTGTTATTACAGACATTTCCCTGTAGCTGGTTTGCTTTATCGCAGCCTTGTGGGGCCTCTTTCCCTCATGGTGTTCTTTTATTATTTATTATTTATTTATTATTATTATTTTTTAAATTTATTTGACAGGTAGAATTATAGACAGTGAGAGAGACAGAGAGAAAGGTCTTCCTTCCATTGGTTCACTCCCCAAATGGCTGCTACGGCCAGTGCCACGCCAATCCGAAGCCAGGAGCCAGGTGATTCTTCCTGGTCTCCCAAGCGGGTGCAGGGGCCCAAGCACTTGGGCCACCCTCCACTGCCCTTCCAGGCCACAGCAGAGAGCTGGACTGGAAGAGGAGCAACCGGGACTAGAACCCGGCACCCATATGGGATGCTGGCACTGCAGGCGGAGGATTAACCAAGTGAGCCACGGCACTGGCCCCCCATCATGGTGTTTTAGCTCCTCATGCACAGTGTCAGTGCTTGTTTTTATTCAATTCATTTTTCATCATAAAATGAAGTCTGCATGTAAATCTCAAAAGATGTGTATCCTTTCTACAAGGTGAGGGTGGCTCTTTGTCCCAGGTGGGCTTCCCACCCAACTGAAGCTGATCCTGTGGATAAGAGAGGTACGGTTGGTGGCAGGAAACACAGGCAGGTGCTTCCACATGCCAGTCTGAGAAGTACACAGCTGTACTTCAGGAAGCCCATGGACAATTAAAGGGTTCCCTTTCATCACATCACCACCTCTGTTCTCTTTTCTAGTCTCTGTAGATCTGATATTTTCTGTCTGCACTTCACCCTTATTACATGTGTGCTCTTTGTGAGCTATTTCTGATCATTTTTAAATGACGTGGTACGTAATCATGGATCATACCCATGACCCAAAGACCATGATCTTGCCACCACTTTTTTTTGACTCCACACAATTTGAATTTTAGAAACAAAGTGATTTCAGCTTGGTGATTTTAGAGATCTTAGAGAGGTAAATCCTTGCTAGCTCATCTCTGTCATTCATGCAGATCTGACTCCCATGGGCCTTTGAGTTTGCCATTCTGATTTCAGTCATACATTATAACCAGTTTGGGTCTGGTGTGTGTTTCTCACCAGTGTCATAGGCTTTGTGATTCTCCACAAAGCACCAGTCAGTCACTATCTAGTAAGGGCCTATTGAGTGGGATTCACTGGCCTTGAAATCTTAGGAATTAAGGCAAGTATTTAATTAATGGAAATGGATGAGGACTATACGAGTAAATCTGCAATAAATGCACCACAGTTTACTTGAGACCATTCATAAGTGGACAGACACCTAAGTCAAGTATACAGAAGTGACTGGAAGGAAATAGATGATGTAGAAATGAGAACGTTCCTTGCATGGAACAACCTAATTGGCCTTATGATTTTGTATCAGACTGCTGTCTTCTTTTTAAAAGTATTATGAGCTGTGAATGAAGCATTCAAGAGTATTGGTTTTTGGCATTATAAGGAAAAGAACCAGAAACAACAGAGCTAGAAACTACTGGTTATATGTTTTACCCTAGAGTCAGTAGTCCCAAGATGGCCACGTTTAGGTCAGTGTGTGACTGTTAATAGATGGTTGCTTGCTAAGTAGATATTTAAAAATAAAAAAATAAAATAAAATAAAAAAGATGGTTGCTTGCATACAAAGGGCATTGCCCATTTCAAGTATATGTATTTTCAAAACCAGAGAAATAGAGAATAAAAATTTGGGTTTGCTTGTTTAAATTTTCATTACAATTTCAAAAAAAATTGTTTTTCACTGTATTCCCTTTTTAAGTTATTCATGAAATGATTTAAGAGTACTCATAAATGAAAAGGGTCCACTGGTCCCAAATTACTAACGGGGATATCCATTTATCAGAAGAAAAAGCAAGGTGTTTTTCTTTTACCCAAGGTACTGAATTTGTATTCTTCTGAATTCATTTTTTGGAGACCAATGAGAAAGTCTTGATTAATAATGGCTTTTCAGAGTTGAGGGGTGGTGTTTTTGAGCTTGTGGATGAGAGTTAAGAGGGTCTCAGTGGAAGCTAAGGACATGGCTCTGCCGACTCAGATCCTGGCTTTGCTGCTTGGTAGTCATGGGCATTGCGAGTCAATGACACTACCCTGAAACCTCAGCTTCTCTCTTGAGTGTGGAGATACTAGCAGGCACATCTGTCGTGTGTAATAAGTATGGAGGGAGAGAACATAAAATGCTCAGCATGCAGTGACACTTAACAGTAAATTTAAAACAGAGAAGGCCAATGAATGAGATTCCTAGATAATCATCTAACAACTTACCCTCTGAAAGTTAAATATGTTAAATAACTGTTAAATGTTAAATAACTGTTTTCTCTAATTTCTTGCAGAAATATTGTATCCACAGTGAATCTTGGTTGTAAACTTGACCTAAAGACCATTGCACTTCGTGCCCGAAATGCTGAATATAATCCCAAGGTTAGAGCTATTTTTATGTATTTCAAACTACATAATAACACAGAAATTTACTTGTAAAAGTCCCGATCAAAAAGTTTATGTTACGCTTTGATTTCTTAACATCAGATCTAAAGTAAAATCTACATCATTTTTATCTTAGATATTTGTGAATATAACAAGTTCATTCATTCATCTGGTATCTTGTTGACTCTGCCATGTAAGACTGTAGAAATACTCCAGGCTGCAAGATAACTTTATATGTACATTATAACAGGGAACATGTGACATCAGAGAGCAGAATATATAGCGTGACCCTATTTACATTTTAGAAACTAGGTAGGGTGGAATAATGTGGTTTATGTCGTTTCCTTCTAAATTCTTCCTGTGAGAGAACTGAGAAAGGGGCTTATGAGTAAGACACGACCGGCTGAGAAGCAGTCCATGCCCCCAGGCCTGGCAGTGAAACAGCTGAAAAGAACCAGAGAAACCAGTTTGAACTGTATGAAAATTTTTACAATGGAAAAAAAAGTTGGATATTGGTACAAGGAAGTTTTTCATAATTTTTTCTACTTTTGTATAACCTTTACATATTTCATAATTAAAAAAATTGGGGAGGGGTGATTAAGGTTTCTCATTTAAGATAGCAGCCCAAATATACATCAGAGGCTTTTGTGCTTTCATCGGTAGAAAAGATACTTTTTAGGAAATAGTGCCCATTCTATAGGACCCACCATCTGCGTCTGGAAGGAGAGGACTGGGTTGCAGGGCTGATGCTGCATAGCACAAAGAGGAAGGATGATGACCAAGTTTCTGCCCTCCCAACCTAATAATACTAGTTAATGGACCAGTAAAAATTGTGGGAGAAATCTATGGATTCAAATTAATTGGACTTTTCCTGGGATTGTGTAAACTGGAATAGCATTTTTTTTTTTATTTTGACAGGCAGAGTTAGACAGAGAGAGACACACAAAGAGAAAGGTCTTCCTTTTTCTGTTGGTTCACCCCCGAAATGGCCACCGCGGCCAGCGCGCTGCACTGATCCGAAGCCAGGAGCCAGGTGCTTCCTCCTGGTCTCCTGTGCGGGTGCAGGGCCCAAGCACTTGGGCCATCCTCCACTGCCTTCCCGGGCCACAGCAGAGAGCTGGACTGGAAGAGGAGCAACTGGGACAGAATCCGGCGCCCCAACTGGGACTAGAACCCCGGTGTGCCGGCACCGCAGGCGGAGGATTAGCCAAGTGAGCTGCAGCGCCAGCCTGGAATAGCATTTTTATAGGTAGTATCAGAAGAAGCACAACAGTTTTTAAGCTAAAATTATAAAAGCAATCTAATTTGTCAAAGAGTCATCTGGATTAGAAATATTACATGACTGTCTTGTTTTTAATTAAATATCATAAGTTAAAAATTTTGGGGAGGATCTGACAGTTTTTGGTTTTTATTATGTAACCTAGTTACTGAGGCCATTAATTCAACCCATAGTTGAGATATTTTCCTATTGAGTTACAGTTTTTGCAAGAAGTTTCTCAAAGACATAAAAAGCATAAAATGGAGTTAAAAACTTACTCTTATTTTGCATTTATATAAGTGTTTAATATATTAATGTTTTTAAAGCCCAACTGGAGGCAGAATTGTACTTCATTACATATTGAAATGAGTGTAATCTGATATTTAAACTCCCTCCAGAGTCAGAAGAGACTGATGGTTTAGTTGCCTATAAGTCAATGTTAATACAGCAGAATTTACAGTTAGAAATGCCAGTCATGATCAGCAGCAAATAGGAAGCAGAAACAAGACGCTCTGGTGAGGCTGGCAGTAAGGAGGTAGGTTTTACAGACGTCCTGACTGGGTAGAATCTCCACTCCTGGCTGCCTGCGATAGAACCAGTAAGCGTTCAGGACAAGTCTTGGCAATCAGGTATACCAAATCTGTCCTGTGGATGTGATGTTCTTAGTTCTCCTGACACTGATCAGCAGTTGGCATGCCCTCACTAATGATTCTCTTTATTTTAGCGGTTTGCTGCTGTAATCATGAGAATAAGAGAGCCACGAACCACAGCGCTGATTTTCAGTTCTGGGAAAATGGTGTGCACAGGAGCCAAGAGGTAGCCTTTCGGCATTCATTCTGAGGTCTGGGTTATGAAGGAAGAGGTGACATCTCAGGGCTTTTTGGTTATCAGGCTAGCATTTTAACTTGTTATTTCAAGAATGCCTGATTCTGATCACTTCAGATGGCACTGATTTCATTGAAGGTCGAGCATGAGTATTAGACCTGCATTACAGCTGTTCACTCTTGATAATAATTCTTTTATGTAAAACACTTTGTATCTTAACACAAATTTGTCCTCAAGTGAAAACAGTGGATCCAGGATCACAGGATTTTCCAGTTGATGATGTGAAGGATTGCAGATCTCACTGGGTGTGGCAGCCTGGCAGCAACGTGCCCGCAACGTGCCCACTGGCCACAGTGCTTGGCCTGCCCTCATGGGGACTAGTTCAGTTGTGAATGTTGGGTGATGCAGGCCTTGAGGAGTGTATCCCTGTCCTATGAGATTCCATCCTGTCCAAAGGTTAGCACTCTGGGGTCCCAACTGTCCTAAACTTTTTTAACAGAGCCCATGTACTTGGAAGAAGTCAAAAACTAAGGGACACTTAGTAACATTAGCTCATAATGAACTAAGACTTTTAAAATAAAAGTTGATTAAAATGCACTTGGAGGTATCAACCCATAGAGAAAGTTGTTGAATGAAGACAAGGCCATTGGTGTGCACGTTCTGGCTCCTGGTCTCTGGTTTTTGAGAAGGCAGGGCATGGATCTATCCTTGGCTTCCACTCCTCTTTGACCCCAGGATGTTTGCATCCCCCTGGATGAAATAAAAGCTTGGTTTATAGCACACATCTAACACTACTGTTTATTCCCAAGACAGCCTTCGTGCAGTGCCTAGCCCATTTGTACCAGGGCACCTACACACTGAGTATTACATCCAGTTGGGTAACTGTTCTAACAAGATAAGAAACAACAAATTAGATATCCGGGGGAGGGGGGGAAGCACTGGCTGTATGTTTGTGTACAAGATTGATTGATTGATTTGAAAGGCAGAGTGACAGAGTCCTTCCATCTGCAGGTTCATGAGAGCAACAGCCAAGTCTGGGTCAGGCTGAAGTGAAGAGCTAGAAACTCCATCATTGCTGCCTTTCCAGGCACATTAGCAGGAAGATGGATCAGAAGCAGAGTAGCTGAACTCCAGCAGGGGATACCGGCATCACATGCTGAGGATTTGTCCTCTGTGCCTCACCTGTGGCCCCTGCACACTTGATCTTTGTCATTTCTTTTTTTTTTTTTTTTTTAAGATTTATTTATTTTACTTGAAAGTCAGAGTTACACAGAGAGAGGAGAGGCAGAGAGAGAGAGGTCTTCCATCTGCTGGTTCACTCCCCAACTGGCTGCAATGGCGGGAGCTGTGCTGATCCGAAGCCAGGAGCTAGGAGCTTCTTCCAGGTCTCCCACATGGGTGCAGGGGCCCAAGGACTTGGGCCATCTTTTACTGCTATCCCAGGTCATAGTGAGAGCTGGATGGGAAGAGGAGCAGCCGGGGCTAGAACTGGTGCCCATATGAAATGCCAGCGCTTCAGGCCAGGGCTTTAACCTGCTGCGCCACAGCGCCGACCCCTATTTATAGCATTATTGTATGCATTTTGCTTTTCTTACATACGCTGTAAGTTTCTAAAGTATAGATTTATCCAACACATGATGTCACAAGTAAAAGGAGACTTGATATAAAAGGAATTATTGTACTGTCATATGCATGAAATAAAACATTTTTGCACCAAAATAAGCTTAATTACATTTTCTGTAAACTGTTTGAGATACCCTTGTGTGCTTTTTCCAGTAATAAAGTTCATCAGTGTTTTCTTATCAAGATGAAGCTGTCAGTTTTCAACTAAGTTCACGCAGAAATTTGTGTACCACTATGTGTGTGTGTGTATTTAGATTTATTTTACTTATTTGAAAGGCAGAGTGACAGAGAGAGGAAGAGACAGAAAGATCTTCCATCTGCTGGTTCACTCCCCAAATGGCGGCAACAGCTGGGGTTGGGCCAGGCTGAAGCCAGGAGCCTGGAACTCCATCCAGGTCTCCCATTAAAAAGGGCCATTGTCCCCTTCTTTCCCAGGTACATTTGTGGGGAGCTGGGTGGGAAGTAGAGCTTCTGGGACTCAAACCAGCACTCTCATATGGGGTGCTAGCATCACAGGTGGCAGCTTAACTCACTGTGCCACAGCACTGGCCCCCACAGTGTATTAGTGATGGCACATTTCACTTCCGTAAAATCTAGGGCTGTCAGTAATTCAGTGAATTGAAAGAGAGCATTCTGTTTTCTCTGGAGGACATAGGAATACTTGACAATAAATTGTTAATATCTGTTCTTTTATCCTGTTGAAAGGAAGATGACCAGTTTATGTGTTATTCATTTCCTAATTTGGAATTTTTAATATTACTCATCTAAATATTTATGTTAGCTGGATTAGAGTATAAAGAACTTAATTTTTTTTTTCTTTTTTCTAGTGAAGAACAGTCTAGACTAGCAGCAAGAAAATATGCCAGAGTTGTGCAGAAGCTGGGTTTTCCAGCTAAGTTCTTGGACTTCAAGATTCAGAACATGGTGGGGAGCTGTGACGTGAAGTTCCCCATACGGCTGGAAGGCCTGGTGCTCACCCACCAGCAGTTCAGCAGGTGAGCGGGGATGTACTCTGCTTGGGCTGGGACACATTTGTAATCTCCTTAGTGTGTTTCAGGATAAAACACAAGCCAGCTATGTAGGGAGTAAGAGCCGGTGAGGCATGCAGAGTTGTGATGCTGTCTCCCTATCAGCCTCCTCCTGCCACATCGGTAGCCATACCCCAAACTCCTCTGCACTGGAATGAACTTGTTTCCACTTCTGGGTTTTACCATTTTATGGCTCAGCAAATGCTTGAGTTGAATCGACAGCTTCTTGCATTAGTTTTTCCCAGTTTGAATCTTTCCTTTTAGTCAACATTATATCAGCTCTGCTGACAAAATGTGAAGTGGGTGATGGGAACATTCTTTCCATTTATTTGGGAGACTCGAGGCAGGTAGTCCTTCCCACCTTGCAGCTTCTTCTCAGCGTCACGTGGTTCTCTGTGTCCCTCGACTCACCGTGCTGTGCCGCAGGCTCATTGACCAGCATCAGCGTTCTAGGAGATGTCCACTTGAGTTCAGATACCCACCCTTGCTGCCCTTCCTCAGAGAGGCCACTCACAGACACAGGGACACCTGGTTTTCAGAACCTCTGAACTAGAAAAATGAGATTATGAAGTTAGAATAGGAGGTAGCAACAGTCCATTCGATCAGACCATGTAACTGGAGTATAGTATCTGGTGTGTCACATAAATTACTTGGCCAGAATTGACAGCTAGAGGATATTCCATTTAAGGAAGTGAGATAAGATTGAAAGCAAAACTGTCTATATCAAAACAACTAGGCAAGTGTGTAAAGGTTCCCAACACATAGACATGATAAGTGAGGAGATGGAAATGCTAATTACCCTGTTTGATCATACACCTTGTGCAGCTGTATCAGATTTTCTTACTGTACTCATAAATATGGACAAATATTCAATTAAAAGTAAATTTAGAAGTAGGCAAATTGTCAATGTTGGATTTTAGAAATAAAAGATTTGGGGCTGGTGTTGTGGTGTGTGTAGTGGGTAAAACTGCTCCATATCGGCGCCAGTTCGAGACTCAGGTGCTCCATTTCTGATCCAGCTCCCTGAGAATGCACCTGGGAAAGCAGTGGAAGATGGCCCAAGTGCTTGGACCCCTGACACACCCATGTGGGAGACCAGGATGAAGCTCCTAGCTTTGGCCTGGCCAAAGATCTCTCATTCTGAACTCTGCCTTTCAAATAAATAAATCAATCTTTAAAAAAGAAATAAATGATTTTACGTAGATTTATCTAAACTCAGGCAGAATCACTCTTTGTAAGAACTGCATTCTACAGAACAAATGCACAGCTCCTCTTCTCAGAAAGAGGAGCTGGTGAAGTGACAGGGCAGCCAGCCACTGGCTGGTCCAGGTGTGGATGCAGCTCCGGCTCGCTTGCTGTAAGTGCTCTCTTCCTGGATGTGTTGTGCAGTGAGTGGGCTTGTTGAGGTATTAAACCCTCAAGCATGGGAAACTTCATTTCTAATCTGTTTTTGCCGTTTTCCTTCTAGTTATGAGCCAGAGTTATTTCCTGGTTTAATCTACAGAATGATCAAACCCAGAATCGTTCTCCTTATTTTTGTTTCTGGGAAAGTTGTATTAACAGGTAAGTTCAAATGGGAATTAGCACCTGAAAGTTTGAATGAATTTAAAGGTGGGCATTTTCTCAGAGCTGAAAGGAATTTCACAGCATTGAATAGTTGGCTACCAACCTTTATCTTCTTTCCCCTACTCTTACTCTATGAGAAAAGTACCTACTGCTGGGAAGAAATCAGAGCAGGGGGATGTGACAAAGCCCTGCTGGGCCTTCAGTCAAAGCATGACCTCCATTTATACTGGGGAGGGGAAATGAGCCTGGCATTGGGTAAGAGCAGGTATCTTCCATGGGTTTGTCAGCAGTGTCATGAGAACAAAGGGAGATTCAGAAGCACTGACTTGAAGGCAGTAGTTGGGACGTTAAGATCCAGTCACTCTCGCTGCTGCCCTGCCAGGATACTCTGATTGTGTAGCAATGAGCTGTAGAGTGGGAGGCTGGAGTCCCCATAAGCATTGCTGTTGTAATGTAGAAAATCATTTTAAGAAAATACTTTAGAGGGGCTGGAATTGGGATGTAGCTGGTAAAGCCGCTGCCTACAGTGCTAGCGTCCCTTTTGGGTGCGGGTTTGAGTCCTAGCTGCTCCACTTCAGATCCAGCTCTCTGCTATGGCCTGGAAAAGCTGTAGAAAATGGCCCAAGGCTGGCGCCGCGGCTCACTAGGCTAATCCTCTGCCTTGCGGCGCCGGCACACCGGGTTCTAGTCCCGGTTGGGGCGCCGGATTCTGTCCCGGTTGCCCCTCTTCCAGGCCAGCTCTCTGCTATGGCCCGGGAGTGCAGTGGAGGATGGCCCAAGTGCTTGGGCCGTGCACCCCATGGGAGACCAGGAGAGGTACCTGGCTCCTGGCTTCGGATCAGCGTGGTGCGCCAGCCACAGCGTGCCGGCCGTGGCGGCCATTGGAGGGTGAACCAACGGCAAAGGAAGACCTTTCTCTCTCTCTCTCTCACTGTCCACCCTGCCTGTAAAAAAAAAAAAAAAAGAAAAAAAACTATGAAAAAAAGAAAATGGCCCACGCCCTTGGGCCCCTGCACCCACATGGGAGACCTGGAAGAAGCTTCTGGCTCCTGGCTTCGGATTGGCCCAGATCCAGCCATTGCAGCCATCTGAGGAGTGATTGGGGTATGATAAGGGATGCCACCATTAAAGTTTCAATGCCTATAATTGTAAAAGTGAGTATGGAGAAAATTGTGCTTGCAGTTTTGTTTTAAGATAATAATTTTACCACCTTAAGATGTTGAGAAATGCGTTTTCACACTCTTGCCTTTGTAGGTGCTAAAGTCAGAGCAGAAATCTATGAAGCATTTGAAAACATCTACCCTATTCTAAAGGGATTCCGGAAGACGACGTAATAGCTGTCATGTACTTCTGCCTCCCCTACCCACATGTTTTTTAAAGAAATCAGTTTGGTACCTTTCAATGGTGGTGTTGAGAAGATGGAGGTTCAGTTGCAGGTCACGGCACCAGGCGATGCTCTTTCGAGTGTGTCCCGCCAGGGGCCCTGGGAGGGCATTGTTTCTGCACTGAGAACACCACGCAGCATTACTGTGAGTTGCTCCTACTGTGCTGCTATCCGGGCAGTGCTGCCCGTTTATTTATATTTAGGTTTTAAACACTGCTGTTGACAAGTTGGTTTAAGAGACAAAACTTTTAAGTGTTAAAGCCACCTGTATAATTGATTGGACTTTTTATTTTGTTTAATTTTTCCCCATAAACCAGTTTTTATATTTCTACCAGGAAAGTAAAAATCTTTTTTAAAAGTGTTGTTTTTCTAATTTGTAACTCCTAGGGGTTATTTTTGTGCCAGACACATTCCGCCTTTCCAGTATTGCAGGACAGAATGAATAGATATATTAATGAAAACAAATGGCTGTACATATTGTTCTTTCTTCAGAGTACTCTGTACAATAAATGCAGTTTATAAAAGTGTCCGATTGTTGTTCTGAACGACACCTTGTAAGTCATGTGATCATACTGTTTAAAAAAGTTGTATTTTAGATACAATGCTTGAAACTATTCTGGTGTGTGTCTGTCAGTATTTTGTTTATGTTGCAAGGAACGTAAAACTACCTGAACGCCTAAGGTTGCTGAGGAAACACATGTTCATCACCTCCCATATATTGAGCACCTCCTATTTCCCAGCCAAAGCAAGTTAGGTTCTTTTTTGACAAGTGAGGAAAAGCAGGTGGACTGGCACCCCGTCCACAGACGGCCAGTTCTTGGGCTTAACTGTTTTTTTTTTTTTTTCCCCCTACTCATGGAGTATCAAGCGGTTTTATGTAAATGCATGGGTTCTGTTTATTTGGGTGTGTTTTATCCATTTGTAAAGTACTTTTTCAGGCAGCTCAGAAGTGTACACTGGGAGAGGAGGCCCCTCCAGCCTTTCTCTTCTGCTTGCTTCCCTGTTCTAAGACTCGTCTTGTGCAGATTCTGTCCTGCTTTTCATCCCATTTGGAAAAACAGCAAAACATACATTCCACTTGGTAGCTTCATTGCAGTGTGTCATAAATGTGTTTCCAATGTCACAGAACCAAGGTACTCTGTGTGTCATCTCTGAACACTTCCCTTAATGGTGGTCCTGTGTGTTATCTGCAGAATTTCAACTGTTGCAAACAGTGCTGCAGGGAGTATCCTTGTATGTGTGTCTGTTTGTGGATAAGTACAGGTATTTCTGTAGTTAACTTTCCTAAAAGAGGAAGTGCTGTATTAAAGACTGTACATTCTAGGTTTGGATAGACTGATAGTGGGTTGCAGTCTTTATTCACACAGATATGTGTGTATATATGTATGTATTACTCCAAGGAAGACACTCTTGTACCCACCACCCAGGTCAAGGTACAGAATTTTGCTGGCTATTCCAGAAGCTCTTATGCTCTCATCAACCCATACCCTCACTCACCCCACCACCCCTCCCAACTCTCAGAAAATCTCATCATCTAGACTTTTACAGTAAATTACACTAACTACCAAACACTGATATAGGCTAGTTTCCCATTTAAAAATAACTGATGTTGGGGCCAGTGCTGTGACTCACTTGGTTAATCTTCCGCCTGTGGCGCCGGCATCCCATATGGGCACTGGGTTCTAGTCCTGGTTGCTCCTCTTCCAGTCCAGCTCTCTGCTGTGGCCGGGGAAGGCAGTGAAGGATGGCCCAAGTGCTTGGGCCCTGCACCCGCACGGGAGACCAGGAGGGAGCACCTGGCTCCTGGCTTCAGATCAGCATAGCTCTGGCCCTGGCGACCATTTGGGGGGTGAACCAACGGAAGGAAGACCGTTCTCTCTGTCTCTCTCACTGTCTAACTCTATCAAATAAATAAATAAAATAAAAAATAAATTAAAAAAAAAGAGGAGCAGCCAAGTCTTGAACTGGCACCAATATGGGATGCTGGCATCATTGGCAGAGGCTTAACTTACTATGCCACAGTGCCGGCCCCCTTTGCTCCATGTAAAAAAAAATAACCGATGTTTTTAGATGTGTTTTCGTCCAGAAGTCCCCTCCATCTCTTTTCCTTGCATTTCACAGACCATCAGGCTTGTAGAGCTTCTCAGTGTGGGCCCTGCTAGTTGCACACCCAGGGCACAGTTGAGCTTGTTCTCTGTTCTCTGCATTTGCCTGCAGGCCAGGTAGCTGGTATACAGTTCCTAGATCTGTTAAAGTGACATAATTCATATAGAGGTCACATCCTTGCTGCTTCATATTGACATGTCCAATTCAAATTCAGGGCTACAGGTTTTCATTCACCCTTTATTCTTTCTGTTTTATACTGGGATCCTTAGTTTTTAAGGACATAGGGATGAATTATAGTTCCCAGAATTAGTCATTGACTACATATTCATGAGAGTGCAACAGTGAAAGCCACTTAAAACATTTGTGTTTTACTGTGATCTCTGCAATTAAAGGCTGATGAGGCCCATGCTCAAATTCCAAAATAAAGACACAGCTCATTGTGTGGCTGTCTACAGTGGGGGAGCTGCAGGTTTTAAGCCTTGCAGGGTATTTGGGTATGGTGGAGTGTGTGGATTGGCATGGTCCGTGTGGGTGTGACTTGATCATTTTTTGTTTTAAAGATTTATTTGAAAGAGGGAGAGAGAGACAGAAATCTTCCTTCCTCTGGCTCCTCAAATGTCCACAACTGGGGCTGGGCCAGGCCGTAACCAGTTTCTTTTGGGTTTCCCATGTGGGCCCAGGGGCCCAGGGACGGGCCATCTTCCTCTGCTTTCCAAGGTGCATTAGCAGGGAACAAGATTGAAAATGGTACTGTTGGGACTTTGTACACAGAAGACCAATTCTATTCTAAGTGAAGATTTCAATAATCTGCACAGAGACACACACCAACACACAAAACTGAGAACAAGTTTTAACTCTCATAATACAACTCATTGAGGACAGAAGTCCTGTATGGGAAGTTAGTGCAGAGGGACTCCTGTGGTAAATTTAACAATTAACACTCTTATGTATGATATTAGTGATCACCTGAGGCTCTTGACAAGCGCTTCCTAGGCTATGGAAGCCTTTTGAATCCACAAACTCTGTCAGTATTTAGACAAGGCCATAAGCAAAGTGGAAGTTCTCTTCCCCCTTCAGAGAGAAAAGTACATCCTTCTTTTATGGCCACATCATTCCACTGGGGACTCACTCACAGAGATCCTTCATGTAAAACGTTTTTTTGCAACAATGTCTTGGCTTTCCATTCCTGAAATGCTCTCATGGGCTTTTCAGCCAGGCCAGAATGACTTAAGGGCTGATTGTGAGATCAGAGTGCTACTTAAAGCTATTGTAATTCTATGATCCTGCTGTGTGGACTGCCTCCCATGTTGGAACATTATATCCTTTTTAATTCTATTATTATTACCAGACGCTTGATCCTATTTATATGATTACTTTAACACTTAATCCTGGGGCCAGTACTGTGGCGTGACAGGTAAAGCTGCCGCCTGTGGTGGCAGCATCCCATATGGGCACCACTTCAAGTCCTGGCTGCTCCACTTATGATCCAGCTTTCTGCTATGGCCTGGGAAAGCAGTAGAATATGGACTAAGTGCTTGGGCCCCTGCACCCGCATGGAGATCTGGAAGAAGCTCCTGGCTCCTGGCTTTGGATCAGCACAGCTCCAGCTGTTGCAGCCAATTGAGGAGTAAACCAGCGGAAGGAAGACCTCTTTCTGTGCCTCTCCTTCTCTCTGTGTAACTCTGACTTTCAAATAAATAAGTAAATAGTTAGGTAAAAAAAAAAAAAAAAAAAAAAAAAAACTTAGTCCTACCTATATGTTCACTTTAACACTTAATATGATCACTTTAAGATGGTATTTTTACCACCCAGCTTAATGGGATTTAAACTATACCCTTAGAAGTAAGTCTGCAGGAATGTATGCAGAACTATACAACTTTACAGTTACAAACTTCTTCCTCCCTCTTTTTTTGTATTTTTTTAATGAGATCCATTCTCAATTGACTTTATACACATAATGTTAACTTTATGTTAAGTAAAGATATTATATTATACAAATATTATGAAGGAAAAAAAAAACTTCCTCAACAGTCAAGACAAGGGCTGCTCAAGTCATTCCTTCTTGAAGCATCAATTTCATTTCTGCAGGTTTCATTTTAGGTGCTCTATTAGCTCTCACAGATCAGGGAGATCATATGGCATCTGTCCCTTTGAGACTGGCTTATTTCACTAAGTATTATATTTTCCAGATTCATCCATTTTGTTGCAATAATTGGATTTCATTTTTTACCGCTGTGTAGTATTCCATAGTGTACATATCCCATATAATTTATTTATCCAGTCTTCAGCTGATGGGCATTTAGGTTGATTCCATGTCTTAGCTATTGTGAATTGAGCTGCAATAAACATGGGGGTACAGATAACTTTTTATATACTGATTTCACTTCTCTTGGGTAAATTCTCAGGAGTGGGATGGCTGGGTTATATGGTAGGACTATAGTCAAATTTCTGAGGTATCTTCATACTGTCTTCCATAGTCACTTTATCAGTTTACATTCCCACCAACAGTGGATTAGGGTACCTTTTTCCCCCACATCCTTGCCAGCATTTGTTGTTTGCTGATTTCTGTATGAAAGCCATTCTGACAGGGTGAGGTGAGACCTCCCTCATTGTGCTTTTGATTTGCATCTCCCTGATGGCTAGTGATGCTGAGCATTTTCTCATGTGTCTGTTAGCCATTTGGATTTCCTTTTGAAAATACCTATTTAGATCCTTTGCCCATTTCTTAACTCAGTTGTTTTGTTGTTGTTGAATTTCTTGATCTCTTTATATATCGTGGTTATTAATCCTTTATAAATTGCACAGTTCGCATATAATTTCTCCCATTCTGTCAGTTGCCTCTTCACTTTCCTGGATGTTTCTTTTGCAGTGCAGAAGTTTCTCAATGTGATGTAATCCTATTTGTCAATTTTGGCTTTGATTGCCTGTGCCTCTGGGGTCTTTTCCAAGAACTGTTTGCCTATGCCAATGTCTTTCAGGGTTTCATCAGTGTTCTCTAATAATTTGATGGTATCAGGTCATAGATTTAGGTCCTTAATCCACTTTGAATGGATTTTCATGTAAGGTGTAAGGTAGGGATCCCGCTTCATACTTCCACATGTGGAAATCCAGTTTTCCCAGCACCATTTGTTGAATAGATTTTCCTTGCTCCAGGAATTTTTTTTAGTTCCTTGGTCAAATAGATGTTGGTTTTAGATGCCTCTATTGATTTCTGGCATTTCTATTCTGTTCCATTGGTCTAGCCATCTGTTTTTGTACCAGTTTTTTAAATGTCTGGTGGAATTCAGCAATGAAGCCACAGGGCCCTGGGCTTTTCTTTGTTGGCAGGATCTTTATTACTGATTCAATTTCCATCTTGGTAATGGGTCTGTTTAGGTTTTTTATGTCATCATGGCTCAATTTAGGTAGGTTATATGTGTCC